ATTCATTGGTGGTGACCCAAGACGCCCGGTCCTTCTTTCCACACGCAAGGGCCAGATCCTTAGTCATGATCTTGTCGATATCCACAGTGTCCACGCAAGCCTTCTCGAGCTGCTCGGCGAAAACGACGAGCTCAGGTGTGTTGTCCAGCTCACCACGCTTTGCCAGACCTTGTGTCCAGGCGTAGATGGAGGCGATGGGGTTGGTGGAGGTCTCGTTGCCCTTTTGGTGTTCGCGGAAATGGCGGGTGACGGTACCGTGCGCGGCTTCGGCCTCGAAGGTCTTGCCGTCAGGGGTGATGAGGGTCGAGGTCATGAGGCCGAGGGAGCCGAAGCCTTGGGCGACGATGTCGGATTGGACGTCTCCGTCGTAGTCTAGTAATGTTAGCGAAGTCGCAGTGGTAGTAGGAGGGATACACACTCTTCATGGCAATGATGTAGCCGCCCTCGCTCTTGATCATTTGGGCGACCATGTCGTCAATCAGGCGGTGCTCGTACCAGATCTTGGCAGCCTCGAACTCTTTCTTGTACTGGCTGTCGTAGATGGCCTGGAAGACATCCTTGAACTTGCCGTCGTATGCCTTGAGAATGGTGTTCTTGGTGCTCATGTACAGCGGCAGCTTCTTGTCGAGCGCCATCTTGAAGGAAGCGTGTGCGAAGCCGGAGATGGACTCGGTGGTGTTGTATTGGGTTTGCGCGACGCCGCCCTCCGCTGGGAAGTCGTAGACCTTGATGACCTCAGGCTTGCCGCCCTTGGGTGTGAAGACCATCTCGAGTGTGCCCTCGCCGGGGATAACGCGGTCCTTCGCACGATACTGGTCGCCGAAAGCGTGGCGGCCGATGATGATGGGCTGCTTCCAGCCGGGTACGAGACGGGGAATGGTGGGGATGACGATGGGCGCGCGGAACACGGTTCCTCCTCTAGAATGTGCTGTCAGTCATGTCCTCCCCTTTATTCCAATGTGCGCCATACAGGTGGTTGCGGATGGTGCCGTTTGGCGACAGCCACATCTTCTTGAGCTTGAACTCCTCGACGCGCTGCTCATCGGGGGTGATGGTCGCGCACTTGACACCGACAGAGTACTTCTTGATAGCCTCGGCGGCATCGAGGGTTACCTGGTCGTTGGTCTCATCACGGTAGGGCAGGCCCAGATCGTAGTACTTGAGGTCGATGTCGAGGTATGGGTGGATGAACTTGTCCTTGATGACCTGCCAGATGATCCTGGTCATCTCATCGCCGTCAAGCTCGACTACAGGGTTCTTGACCTGAATCTTCTTGATTCCCTGCGAGGACGCCATCCTGTACTGTCCAATTCGAGTGTATAGGCTGGGTGTTGGTGTTGGGGCGCTGTTTGCGGATGTTCGTCGCGGGCTCGAAAACTGGGCCGATCTCGCAGCAGTCTGGGAAGCTAGGCAGCGCGTCGCAAAGGAGCACTTCTGGCGGGGGAGTCGTGCGATGGACGTCGCAGCGCGGAAAGCGGCGGGCGCAGTAGTCGCAGGCCTCATGGCGAATGAGTGGTGTGGTATAACCTCGGAAAGACGAATCCAAGAGAGTCCAGAGGGAGTTTCTTCGCTACCGGCCGCGGTCCCGATTGCGCAATGCGGCGAAGATACTCGGCTGATAGGGCAGACGGCAGCCTCTAGTCGACGGAGTCGCTAGCGGGGTAACGAAAGCCGAGGAATTTCTCTCTCTTTAATCTTAGAATGCTGAACATGGCCCAGACCAGCGAGCAGCACCTCGCTCGGTGGAACGGCTAATACCCCACAGGCGCGCATTGTGTAGGCGCGAATTGATTGCTCCGAACGGGCGGCAGATGTTCCTTCGTGGGCTGTCATGCGCGAGCTCTCATCCTACAGCGCGGGGCACGCCTGTCATATGACGCGAGCCCGCGCTTGACGTATTGGCGTGGTCATGGCACGACATGGCTTCTGCAATGACACTTGATCGGCGGCGAGTGTTTGCGGTTGAGCGGTGCAAGTTCAGGACCGACGCAGTATGGGGCATGAGGTGGTATATGTAAGTTCCTTCCCTGCATTCGGATCCCCTCAAAACAACACGCGCGCGTCGCGGCTGCCGGATCCGCTCCGACTCGACACGCCCACGACTTCTATCATTGGCCGGCGGAGCAGATTTACTTTTGCTACAAGGCGTGGCGTTGATCGCGCTGCCTGACTGGATCGAGCACTCCGACACCGCAAAAGAGATGAAATTGAATGTGACAATCGTCGATGTTATTTGGTTAGCCGGGCAGCGATATGATCCCCAGTTTGAGGAGGTCGCGGAGGCCTCCAGCTCCATACACTCCTTCAAAGCAGCCAAGACTATCCAGATCTAAGACCGGTAATCGCGTCTGTCTACCAGCCAAAGGTCTAATTATCCTCAATCCTCCCATATATTCTGACTCGCTCTCCCTAGCTCTCACAGCTTCGCGAAGATCTTGTGTAAACGCATGACGTTACTTCCTTCGTCGCGTCTGTCGACCTGATCGGAGGTGACTATTGATCCGACCATTGCATCTTGCACTGGAGTGGCCACTGGTTGGGACACAAATGCGACAATGCAAATCTCGTAGTTTTCACACAGGAAAACATGGATTTTACTAATGAACATGTTGCCCAGATCTGCCTTGTGTTGAACCAGCATGTACCCAAAGCCTTGTACGTTCGGGGTTCCTGTCCATGAGTTAGCCGAGATAGTCCTCCAGGATAAGACGGTGGTCTCAAGTGAGCCTTGGGGTTATGCTCTACTGCAATGGAGACGACACAACCCCGATTACGCTACGAGATACCTGAACCCCTCTAAGATGGGTGCAACTTACCCAAGATAGCACGGAAGTCCCATGTGCCGGCTAGAAAAACGTCTCCAGGCCACTTCTTCATTGCTTGGTTATTATCCCTGAAAATCCTCTCGCACACTGATATCGTCTGTGTGTTCGCGATCCCAAGCGATAAGAAATACCGAAGATTGTTAACAGGAAGATTATTCGCCTCGGTCATGGCCTTCCATTTTATCCAGCCAACATCGGAGAATTGGTGGAGTTTTGGCATGTCTTCTGGTTTCAGCGGCGGCTCTCGCTCCTTGCCTGCCGTATCTGGGCCTTTGCGACTTATGGCAATGATAACACCATCTTGCAGATTCATAGTCATAGTGTAATCAGCCTCCGAAGCCCGGTATTCTTTTCCGTCGACCTTGTAAGTTTGCTTATCAACACTGATATCTGCAGTGGGGTCTTGGTGCACTACAATGGTGAGACGATTGGGACCCTCTTGTGCATCTGTCTTCCAAGGAAGCTGAAGGCCCTTCAGTGCCACATCAGCTCCCCACCAGATGCTGCTGAGGTCATCGTAAGCTTGCGATATCTTGACACCGTCATGCCATCCCCAGTCTCGGAGGTCTTGAGGAGTTTGAAAGGGAGATTGTGCGGTCATGCGGGGAGGTGCAAATTGAGCGCCGGCCTCGCTATCGGAGTGCTGCATCGACCATTCCAGGGCGCATCCTTTTTGCTTGCAATGCTCGTAATACGCGTCGGGCACTGGAGTCACTGTTATATCTGATGGTGAATCCGAGTCGTCCGAGTCATCCGGATCATCGGGGTCACCGGCAACAAGGATCTTATCAAGTGCACCCGGGATCGTAAGATTGACAGTGAGAAGGCCGTTGTTTGCGCAACTAGAGTCTGAGTCAACTACAGCGACATGTAATCAAACAGATTTGGTACTTGATAGAAGGACGTAACCAGAACAACAACTCGACTAGAGGCACGATACCTACCTTGGACAGACCTCGCCTGCAATAGCAGCGATGAGGGTTGCTAACCCGAGGAATCCTGAAATCCGCATGTTGTGGAATAGTCAATGGGATATCGAAACGAAGAAACCAGGGTAGAGGAATGAGAGACGTATAGATTCGGTGCACTCAATGAGCATAGGTCTGTGCTCGGCAGCGCCTACTATTTCCTTCACTGGAGGTAAAGTGAGGGAGCTGGAGTGTAGATAACGAGGCGGTCTTTCCCCGACTTATCCGCTTCTGTCGCGCTGAACGTGCAATGGCCCACTCCCGCCATGAACATTCTCTACTTTCACAACCAGTGGGAAAGCTTTGATCACTTGGTCGCTTTCTTCATCTCACAACCAAGGAATCAGCTATGAGACATTACTACACGCCCCCGAGGATGACAGAGGTACTTACAAACGCGGCAACACTGCTTTCACTAGCAACAAGAACCTGCGACTCTAGCCGGACTCCTACATCGAGTTCAACCAAGAAACTGCGTCGCCCGCTGCCAGGATGTAGCTCTCAACCTTTCAAATCTGCGAGATCTGGCAAGCGCGGAAGACCATGGGCAAGAGTTGGAAATGTTATACACTAGCTTGTATCTGGCGAATACGATGTCTTGACACCAACGGAGGAGCTTGACGACTACTACGAACGTCTCATACCTTACTTCCGACGCCTGTATCAATCTATCCGAGCCTGATCTATCAATTTATACGAGATCCACATCTTGATGTAGTGTAAAAGCTACAGCGACACTTTCGTACGCGCGACATACCCATGAGCTGCCGCGATACACACCGCTTTTACCAAACCACGACTTACCAAAGCTGATGAAAGTTCTATAACATCAGCATGTTCACTTCGCATTACCCAAAAATAAGCAGTGACGGAGAGCCAGACCAACTCTCAGACCTCATGCTCTAGCTCTACTGCGAACGCGGGAGCTAGCTCTGGAAAGGCCGCCCAGCTTCTCCTCCTCTCAGCCAGTCTCCACGCCCCTCTTCTCTTTTTTCACTTTCACGGTGAACCAGACCCTGAATCTAGCACCTCTCTAGCGGCAGTAGCCTAAATCCCCGTGCACACTATCCCCATTGCTACGACACTCCATGACCAAAACATGTGACCCTCTCCAGCAATCAAATTCCCTCTCTCCTCCCCTCTTATTCGCGCTCCCTGACCGCCCAAAGACCACCGCAAAGTCCAAACGAAAAAGAACGAAAAAGATATGACCCGACCCAAAGGCACTCCAAACAAGCACCCCCGACCTTCCAAACCCAAGCCAGTCAAGCAACCCCGACCCATAACGCCGAAAAAACCACGCTCATACGGCCCGAAACCCATCCCCGGACCCAACGGCAACAAGCTGAAACAAGCGCAATACTTCCGCTTTGCCAAAAATGATGTAGCCATCTACCACTACCGCGCCTCCTTCATCTCAGTAGCCAAGCTACGGTCCTTGCTCAACCGCCCCGATCATGGCTTCGTCTGCGCGCTCCGATCCGACGACCCGTTCCGCAAGAAAGCTGTTCCGCTTGGCGATGAAATCCCACCGGGGTGTCTCGAAGTCGGCTACCTGGCTGATGTCTTCCAGCTCGGCGGCTCGGCGCTCGGATTTCGCACGGGGGATAATGTGATAGAGTGGCTGTGCTTCGATCGCGATATCAAAGCTGGTATCTTGGATAACCTCGATATCGACACGCCGACGGCGAAGATGCTGTTTGAGCATGTCGCTGATGTTGGGAGATCGCCGACTACGAGTAAATGCAGTAGGAGGTTGGTTTGGACGGAGCATAGAGATTGGTTTGATGCGTTGGAGAGGGCGGGCAGGATTCCGATGAGGGTTGGGGTGAGGTGGACGGGGTTTGGGGAGAGGTTGAGGGAGGAGCATTTGAGGAAGTGGGTTGAGGCTGGGGGGACGCTGGATGCGGAGGGGGAGGTTGTACGTGATGGGATGGTGAGCGCTGAGGGGGGACTCGTACGCGACGGGGCTCTGTCCATTGAGGCGGAAGTCGCGCGCGGTCAGCAGGATCAAGAAGTTGGTGGGACACTGGTCACTGAGGCGGAGGCCCTGCCCGATGACAGAGCAGAGACCATCACGCAGGCTCATCAGCGCGACACCAATAGCCCGGAGACGATCGGTCGGCGCACGCCTGTGTTCCGCGATGAACCGGCCAGTCAGCACTTCGCGTCGCCGCAGTCCTCCAAGTCGAACAAGTCGCGCTCGTCGGGCACTTCTGTACTCAGCGACCGGAGTACGAACATGCGACAGAAGGAATCTCTTCCGTTGCTGCCCGAGAAGTCGAAACAGGAGCTACTACTAGAAGGTAAGTACGTTTGATTCGTCTCCCCTTGGAGAAGGCTTTGAAAGAACGCCATCGTAGCGAAGGCATTGCATCGGATCTCTTAGCCTTCTACTTGTACAATGATACCCGGGGCTTGCTCAACTAGCAATCTATTAATGTGTAATTACGAAGAAAGTCCCCATTGAGCACAGCCCGACCGGCTAGGAACAAGTCGTATCACCATTGTGGTTTTGGTAACGCGCTCTAGCTCTTTGTGTGATTTACCAACAGATTTAAGTCGTTTACGCATGACCAAGAGTATTTTGAACCACACCAAGCCGGTCTGGGGAAAAGCTGCACACCCTGGAGCCTACCTTGACGTTGAGTCAACCACTTTGGTGGATTTTGTCTTGATGTAGTCCGCAGGCCTGTTCAGGTTTTTTCGTGTATGAGACGATACGATAGACAACGCGTGGTTGTCGGGCTTGAGGAGAGTACGTCGTAGCAGTCTGGCTAGGTTCGGGGGCGTTCGGGCGTTACAGCTGTAACCTCGAAGGTCATGCTAAGGACACCTGCGTTATATCTGTATCGTGGTACGTGTATCCAGGAGGAGTCTGATAGTATTGCGCGGTCCAGTCTCTGGGTTATCGGAACGTGTTTGTCGAGTGCTTGAGCGCGACCGTATGCGGCAAACGTTGATAGGTCGTATTCTTTCGTCTGAGCCTTTCCTGGACACGAAGACGATGCAGTAAAGATTTAAGACTAGATTGGCGAGTGTTGACGCATGGCGTTCGGTATTCTAGATGTAGCTGGACCTCGTCAGCATCCAAGTTGAAGCAGACCGTCCATGTGCGTCCTCTTTCTTCGAATCGATGACAATACAGAACAAAAACCAGATCCTTCGAGGGGTGGAGCAGAGGAGGGCTTCCAGCCAACTGTCAAGACATTCGTGAGGCTCACGACTCCGGCTCCGCAATAAGCAAAGTCCAAGGGAGGAAGTGGGCCGCTTCGCAAACTCAAAGGATCGGCACTTGAATCGCACGAGCTTCTACCACAACTTCTATTGGTCGCCTTGCTTCCAGAAGTTTCATTTACTCATGTCATTCACGCATGCCGTGTCGACTGGTGTTACCGAACGCCGCGCAGTCGGCAGGAGTACATCGTGGTGGCCGTCCCGGCTTAGGACGTAATCGGATCGGCAAACAGGGTTACGACTTCGGAAATTACGAAGCCTCACTTTTTCACAGAACCATTTGTGAAGGGGCGTTTGTGGAAGAAGTTGGTAAGACTAGAGCAGGTACTGGGTCTTAGCAAGACCTGCATATGATGCGCTGCATGCATTTTGCCGCGATCAACAACGGCGAACGCGCATTGACAAGGACGGTTGACGTGGCACGCGAGATCCACGGTTCGTGCTCGGAATGCCGCTCGTGGCGAATTTGTGATTGCACTTTGCTGAAGATGTTGCAGGCCGCATGTACGGATTGCGATCAAGCAAGGGCAAATAGTGTTTCTCGTCAGTTCGTTCGGCTGTGTTCCGCCTCCACTGCTAAGAGCGTGAAGCCTTGCGCTTATTGCGCTCGATCTTTGTCCGTCAATGAGAGAGCCATCGTATCCAACCACCGGATGAAGCGTGTGCTGTTCACAGGATTTTGCCGTTGTGGGCTCGGTCGCGGTGTGATGGTGGTGGCGTGGGACCATGGAATGAAGCTGACGCGAGTAACTGACACAGAACAGCAATCTGTAGAAGGGATTTCCCTGTGGAAGTATCTGAGTGGCCACATATAGTAATCGTTAGCAGAATTCATGCCAATTGTCTCACACGTAGTCCCGCTGACCCATGCTCCGGTTCTACTCTTCGAACAGGGCAGACAAGGGCTGAAGGCAGCTTACTAGTCTGTGGCGAGTGGGGGTTTGGACGGTATCTTCCTTTGGGCGCATCGCCTATCGGGTCTCAATCAGGGTGTGCTAGACTCCATAGGTATGGAAGACGTCACAGAACGCATTGCCTGATACCCTCCCTTCTCCAGTGTGCCGGTCGTCCGTCGTCGTTGCCCATTCGAAGAGCCATTGCTCTGCAAAGTGACAGCCCAGTGACAGTCGTGAATTTTGTCAGGACACGTCTGCAGGATTGCTAGCTGACCCTGCGGACACGATGTTGTCGAGATTGTCGCCCCGAATGATCACAACCGGGCTGAGCCTTGTCAATGTCCGGTGAACAAGGCCTTATACATGTCAAAAGCTATACGAGATCGGAGAGCAGTCGTATGATAGAGCAGAGTGGCAGCGGGGCGACTTCTCGGGCTTATGATTTCGGCCGCTTTAACGAACAGTTGTTTTTGAAAGAGTTGCTCTCTGCCGGAAGTGGTAGCCGTACCTTGCTTGTCAGATCCTACCTACGATCATCCGTCCCTGAAATGCGCTTTCTCGTCAACACTAGGTGCATTACTTCCAAGCCGCTCAGATTCCCTGCATTGCTACTGTATAGTCACGGTAGGTACGCTCTCTGGTCTTGCGTTAGTTGCGGAGTACCTCGGGTTGCGCCATCTTCCGCTGTCTTCCAGTAAGGCCGGTAAGTAGGAACCGCCGACTGAATATGGCGTGATCACGCATTCGATATGCCCGGGGTTCCTCGTAGCCCGCGAAATGGCCGCCACCAGGTTCTCCCTCCAAACTCATAATGCCTCACAACATCCACTGCGTCGTGTCGTCTCATCCGTGACATCATGACGTAAGGCGACAATTTCGGTGAGACCTTGACACCGGATGCAAGGTGAGGTGGCGTAGGAGGCGACTGCATGATTGATTCTGCGGGGTAGTCCGGTGCATAAGGTGCTGTAGGTACAGTATGCTGGCCACGACGATGGAATGCTTGTTGTGATGGAACCTAAACGCTCGGACGTTGGGCATTGGGCACATGTTCATGAAGTCGCACACGTGTACACGACTCATGCGGCCATTGTAAGAGCCGAGACCGCCGTTAGGATGCAACTCCGGTGGTGATCTTGTATTTTCGAGCAATGATACGCGTTCCGTTGAGGTTTGCTGGCTGCAAGAGATGATCTATGCCGAAGGGAACAGAACGCATGAACACCTCAGATGAACAGCTTCACAATCGAAGCGATAGCACCAGGTGTTGCTGAACGCTCTGTTCTTGCCATTGGCACCACATGCCGTAATCTATCACCTTTCCCGGTAGTGTCGAAGTAGATCATCAATGACAAGCGGGGTAAACCAGGCTCGCCTCACAGTGAGATAGAGTCGCCAAATGGTGTTGGCGCTTAGTCCGTCTGCTGTGGAAGAAGCGCAAGGGCTCGGGTACCGTTGTTGCGTCAACCAAGGTACATGATGGTGGATACTATAGGGTCTCGGCTCGGCTCTTGGAATATTCAAAACCTGGAACATCCCCGTAGCTGGATGCATTCATACCCATAGCAGCGCGTGCGGAAGGGATCTCCTGGATGCGATCGCGCCTTCGCTTAACAGATCTAGCGGTGAAGCCACGCTGGCCGAATTTAGACACCGCGACACTGTGTTCCTTCAGCTGTGCGATTACCGTGGGGCGACTGGGTGTCACCCATCGTGGAAGTTGAGCCGGGGTATGATCGGCGTCGAGGTTTCTCCGCTAGAAACCTTTGGCGCCAAGTTCATCGCATCTGGAAGAACAGGTTGAGCCCGCTGGCTTGGAACTGCAAGAGGGTGTGGGAGTATCACATATCGCAAACTCCTTTGGAACGTTTGGTGGCAAAGAGATCGTCTTTAAGCATCCGTAGTTGTCGCGAGAGACCATCCATCTGCAGACGTGGCAGCTGCGTTGGCCGCTCCAGCAATTAGCGCCGAGATGCGAAGCATAACGAAACCGCAATAGTCCTCCAAGAGTAAGAGATATACCAGAAAATGCAGTGGAAATTCCGTGAGTGGTCAATTGCAAAGGGTGCTGCAAGACCCGGTCTTAGTCGCTGCCCAATGGCGGTGATTGGGCTTTCGAGGCGAACAATGAGGCGGACGCGTCCACGCCCAACGGGGGACTTGGTCGCAGCCGATGCATCGCATCCTCATCCGGACTGGAACCGGTGTAGATAGAGTGTATGCAACCGATTCCCCAGTCGCAAGGCTGCGAGTCAGATGTATAAGTCCCCAGCGCGCCCAACCTTACCATCATCCCCAGCCCGCGAACATCGAGTCCAGCCAACATTGCAATACCCTGCCGACGTGACCATCCCAAACCATCATTATGGCTGTGCCCAACTCGTACTTCGTGCCAGGCTTCGGCATCTCAAGAGCCGTTATTCAGAACGAGATACGCTATCATTGCGGCCCGGATGCGATTGTTCGGCCCTACACCTTCCAGGTACTTTGCAATGGTGGTTGTTGAGTATAGCAGAACGCTAATTGTGTCGACAGGGACGCGACGGATTTTTGATCACCACCATCGGACCACCGCTGACCAAGGTAGCTCAACCTTATCATTACTTGGCGTATGAAGGCTGACTTGATAGGCACAAATCGATGACCTAAAGATGTCTTCCTTGGAATACGAGGAGAAGCAGTCTCGCATCGCCGACGAATCCCACGTCTTCGTAAACGCACCTATCCCAATAAACCAACGCATAAGACGAAGTACATGATCGCGGCGCAAGAGACAACCTTGATTTCACTTCGTGCCATGGTCTAGGAGTTCGAAGAGCATGCGCCCTATACCCAAATTTCCGTTTAATACGTTCACCTCTTTCTCGTCAAGTATTCTTTAGCGTGCATTTATCCCTGGGCGGACCGACTGATGAGTTATGGTATACGGACCATTATGATGTCTCGAGGCTTCGAGTTGGCGTTTCGGTTTTGTGGGGAGGATAAATTGGCTACCACGTTGTTGTTGACAATACGTGAGATGCATTTCGCTTTAATGCAGAAAAGAATGTCTGTTCCTTCATGATATGCTCCAGTTTGCAGTCTTGTTACCATGTGACGCCCTTCTTCCAACGTGAAAACCTAGATCTGGCGTTTCCGGGGATACTGCGCGTAAGGAAGACATCGTCTGCTCTTGGTTCTTGGTTGAGAGTTTCGTAGGATGCCCCCGAAGTGGTTTCAGTCGTCGAATCTGTTGCCTTCGTTGGCTGAGTGTGAGCCTGAGGTCTGTCTTTTGGCATTTTCAGGCAGCCAGGGCTACGAAACTAGATGAGCGGAAATGCGAACGAAGAGTGCCTGCCTCAGCACTTGGGCGCCCGCCCCATGATGTATTCACAAGGCAACTTGGCGAGTCGGACCTGGACAGCTGGACTGGTGCCACGTCGCCGATGGATTTGACGTGTATACATACGTAGCGACGAGAACAAGGGCACGACAAGCGTCGAGGAGTTGTTGAGTTGTGATGATGAGGCGGAGCCTGAGCCAGCAGGACGCAGGGACGGATGGCGTGTGATTGGCGCGCATGTAAGCGAGCCAGAGGCTGGTGAAGTGTCGTCACAGCTCAAATGATGCAGCAGTCGTCACAGCTCAAATGATGCAGCAGTCGTCACATCGCGATTTGAAACAGCGCATAGCTGGATGAGAGCGACGTTGGCATGGTCAAAATAGAGTTAATGGTTGAGTGTCGACCGTATGGTTACCTGGTTCTTTCAGACATTTCCAAGGTTGACCCGACTTGTGTCTGAACGAAGCCGCTTTCTTCAAACGGAGATTCAACGTATTCAATACAAAGGCTTCTACTACCGGTTCATCGGTGAAGCACTTGTGAAGCTGCAATGCGCTGTTGGTCTTTAGTTGGATTCTGCGAAGGCCAATACTTTAGTTTTCTGAATTGCTCTTAACCCTTAGAGGACTAGTGCGCTTCTGAGGGATGAGAGAAGATAAATTTTCATCCGTCTTTCGCATTCTCATCTAAACATCTCTATGTCTATGAGTGTGCAAAGCGCTTAAAGCAGTCGCTGCATGTAGACTGGACGTGCCGTCGGATGCGTCTCTCCCTAGTTGTGCTGTCGGCCCCCACCTGAACCCGGCTTCCCCGCTCAGCCATGCGCAAGCTGGCTTCATCACCTTCTGCTATATACGCTCGAATCACCCATTCCTTCATCAATCAGCAAAACAGCAAATTGAAGGCACTTTGGCGTACGTTTGATTCAGTCTGCCTACTCAACGCTTACTAATCCAAAATTCTAGGGAGTGGTTAACGCGCTGGCCTGCTAGTCCTTCACAGGAAAGTTAGCCAGTTCCTTCGGGAGCGTGTGTTCGAATCACACAGGTGTCGCATGAACCAATTTTTTGCCGTTTCATTCGAGCCGAATGCATTGTTTTTGCTGCCAGCAGGATCTAATGCGCCCTCTATGATATGCTGTAATGCTTGATCGAATCTTCCTTTTGCACGTGTATGGCTCGACGCGCTTACTTCCAATTATACTCTCGATATATCTACCAGCTACATCATACTGCACATGTCAGCCCCTTGACTTTTGGCGCCCTTCTCAGTCGTGGTCTTCGCACTCGTCTTTGCGACGTCTTCCAGCACCTGCCTACATAGCTCCCCTGTCACCGCGCTGCACTCAGCATAGTGGTCGCACAGCATCCTCTGCGCCGCCTGCAGACCCTCGTGTGGCATGACACTCGGTCCCTTGCCCTTCTTATCCGGGCCATGCTCCGCTAACGTCCATTGTTTCCTCAGGTCTCTTTTTAGGCCTAGAACCATCACGGGCAGGTTCTCATCGTAGTTGAAGTGCTCGTTCACGATCGGCAACCATGTCGAGGCTAGAGAGTCGAGGGATGCGCGCGTGGAGATGTCGTAGCAGAGGATCACAAATTGCGGGTGCAGGAGAGTGTAGTTCTTAGGCGACGCAGTGTCAAAGAACTGCAGCCTGTACGGACGGCCATAGAGCGAGATGTCGAAGGCATAGGGCTGGTCTATGTCGCGTAGCTTGGGTAGTTCATACGGTGGGAGGTCATCGCCCTGAGGCTGTACGCCGAGCGACAGACGACTGCGAATACGTCAGTAATGGTAGCAAGACGTCAATCGACATCAACCGTCACGCGAACCGCGCGCACCGAACTCACGATAAGAACGTCGACTTTCCGACTTCCGAATCGCCCAACAGCAGGACGTTGACCTCTGGAGTTAAAGGGCTGTAATCCATCGCGAGTGTTAGTGGCCTCGCAGGCGCAATCGCATATCAAGGCGGTTCCATGTTTGCTTTTCACAGTCGATGAAGGAGATGACGAACACATCTGGGCGCGGAGATAGGCGTTAGCTGCGCAGTGTCTTGGCAACGAGCGCGAACGCGTCCTGGAGATAATCATCACTCGAACTCCTCACCCATCGCACATCTCAATTCGCGATCGCCAACATGCTACAGACATCCTCGCTCTACCTGAAAGGATATCGCCATGCGACAACATGGGAATCATTCTTCGCGCTATCTTAGCGTGCATCGATTGCAGCCCTGCGCATTCTCCAGCTCTTCCTCCATGTCTCACCCCGGACACATTATACATCCACTCGGCTGTGGGGAACACAGAGCTTGATTTTGACAGCCTCGGGGCGATGCTTATCTGCAACTCACTCACGATCCTGTAGCAACAATCGCCGGTGCCTTGCTAACCCACATTCAACAGTCTTGGCAACGCCTTCGACACCCTGGACCAGGAGTCTGGATCCTCTAGAGCTTTTGCGCATCTGTTGGCCCACTGCCAGCACCATCATTTGCGTTAGAGTACATTTCGTGTGGCCATAGCAGAAGATAACAGTTCGGACCTGCTTAGAATCGTAGGGTAGGCACGCCAGCCAAGTACGCTTGCTGTCTTGGAGTCTTGGAGAACCGCCTCCCCATTACCGGATGAGGAAGCTGGAAGTAATGCTCTTCTCTAAGAGGCTCGCGACACATAGTACCAAGCCATCGACCTTGAATAAATAAGAACAGGATGGCAACAGTCTGTGTCTGTACGACTCCCAATTTCTACTCGTCGCAGCATCATTATTATCGCTGCCTGCCATGAAGGTCTCCACGCTCCTCGGTCTGCTTCCCGGCGCTGTTCTCGCATCCGATGTCTTGAGCGTCGCATTCTACGCAAAGGAGAAGAACCAACTGTACGACTTCATCTCGGCTAACAGCGAGATCGACTATGGCTGCCGCCCTGTTGTCATGGCTGCGGGCGGCGAGCACAAGCTGCACGCCGTCATATCAGAGGACCATTTGGACCACTTCAAGCGAAGCCTGGACCCCGAGCTCGTTCGCGTTGAGCTTCTGCACAACATGAACAAGCGACAGACTGCGACTGCACCCATTGGCAAGGGTGATCGCTTCAAGGGTGGAAAGGTTGCGCCCCGCGGTCTCGGTACCAGGAAGCCCAGCGAGTACGCTCAGCTCCAGAGCGCTGGTGTTTTCAATGCCGACGAAGTCTACACTGCCATGAAGGGTCTGGAGAAGGAGTACGGCATGTCCATCTTCACCACGCCGCACAAGACCTACGAGGGTGCGAACATCATCGGTGGTGTTGCCAACAAGGCAGAGAAGATCAAGAAGGACAAGCAGTACATCTACTTCACTTCAGGTATGTATTGATCGATGAAGCTGTTGCGTATCCAAACTAACTCGAGTAGGAATCCACGCACGTGAGCGCGGAGGACCTGACAACCTGATCTACTTCGTCTCTGACCTTCTTTACGCGAACGAGCACCGCATCGGTCTAACTTACGGCAACAAGAAGTACACCAATAGCCAAGTCAAGAAGGCTCTTGGTGCGGGAGTTGTTTTCATTCCCATGCTGAACCCAGACGGCGTGCGCCACGACCAAGCCAACAGCAACCTCTGGCGAAAGAACCGTAACCCAGCCTCTGCTAGGCCCAACGAACCCCTCAGCGTTGGTGTAGACCTGAACAGGAACTTCGACTTCCTCTGGAACTTCACGGAGAAGTTTGACCCTTCCGTCTCCCCAGCTTCAACGAACCCCGCTTCCCAGGCCTTCTACGGCACCGCACCGTTCTCCGAGCCTGAGTCGAGAGACATGGCCTGGGTGTATGACGAATACCCCAACATTCACTGGTACATCGACGTCCACTCTGCTGCCGGAACTCTGCTCTACTCATGGGGAGACGACGTTGACCAATCCCACGACCCCAAGCAGAACCTGTTCAACCCCGCTTACGACGGCAAGCGCGGTATCGTCGAAGACGATCTGTACAAGGAGTACATTGACCAAGAGGACTGGGACAACATCCGCATCGCAGCCAACCGCACCACCGATGCCATGATTTCCGTTGGAGGCCGCGAATACGTCCCCCAGCAGGCTGTTGGTCTCTACCCTACTTCCGGCGCGACCGACGACTGGTCTTTCAGCCGCTGGCAGGGTAACAAGAAGCTCACCAAGGTCTACGGATACACCATGGAGTTCGGTTACCCGACTAACTTCTACCCTACGAGCGAGGAGTACATTCAGAACATCATTGACACCAATGCTGGTTTCATGGAGTTCATCCTCGCTGCTGTTGAGATTGGTCTTAAGGCTTGAGCTTTTTCGCTTGATGTGTAATGGTAGTGAAAGGTGGCTCATGGTGCGAGCATGTGGTGGTGATGATGTCATGAGAAACGAGAGACGACGTGTAGTAGTAATAGTCGTTGCGTTGTAGTATCAGGAGAGTAACTCTTACCAGTCGCAACTTGGTGCCTTCAAGACTTGACCCAACGCTTGACTCACACATGGCGACCAGCTTAGGATGATTGCGCAGCTCATTGGAAAAACATCGTGTAGTATACCGTAAGAGACTGTCATTCGTCGTCATCGTTATCATCACCATCATCTACATGTCCCATGCAGGGACAAACATCTCTCCGTCTTTCAGGAACCCGAGCTCGCTCAACGCCCGATATCGCCCGTACTTCACCATCCCCACAACTCCCGGCTCAACACCACCTCCGGTCATCACAAGACCATCGAATCATCTACAACTCCATGATCTCCTTGGGAGCCCCCATATAGCTCAACGGTCCCTTCTTGACCATCAACGTCATAACTTCATACAGCGTATCCTAGAATGTATCCCGTCAGCGAAAGCCCCAAACCAGCATATACATAATCGAGCCAAGGAGAGTAAGGAAATAGAAACGCACAGCAGCAGCCATAGTGGTTAGTTCAGCGTTGGTGTCGTAAGCGGGTGCGACCTCGACAATGTCGGCGGCGATGAGGTTGATGCCTTCGAGGCCGCGGATGATGGTGCGCAGTTCGCGTGTGGTCCAGCCGCCGGTTTCGGGGGTGCCGGTTGCGGGTGCGACTGTGCGTTCATACACGTTAGCTATGCCATCCATCTGTAAAACTCAACTCTCCCAAGGATTAGTAGGTAACGTACAAGCAGGATCCAGCGTATCGATATCGATACTCAGATACACAGGCTTCTCCAGCCCAACCCTCTCGCGGATCTTCTTGATAATGCCATCGGTGCCGATCTTGTCGACCTCGCGGGCTTCGACGATTTCGAAACCGCAGTAGCCGTCGTTTTCGTAGTCAGAGGGGCCGGATAGGGTCGTGCGGATGCCGGCGTGGATGTTGGTGTCGTTTGCGAGGAGGCCTTCTTGGGCGGCGTGGAAGAAGTAGGTGCCGTGGTTTATGCTGGCTTGTTCGGAGGGTGCGCCGCCGAAGACCTTGGGGCGCCAGGTATCGCTGGTGGAGGTGTTAGTGGATATGTGATAGGGAGGTGATGAAGAAGGAGTGGGGCTTACAGATGGCTGTCAAAGTGGATGACGGTGATGGGGCCGTATTCTCGGTTGATGGAACGGAGAAGAGGGAGTGTGATGGTGTGGTCTCCTCCGAGAGTGATCAGACGAGGGAGCGTCTTGCCTGTCTTTGAGGGACCGGGCTTGTTGGCATGTGTGTGTGGTGGGCGGCTCAACAGTAGGTTGTGGCCTTCCTCAATCTGCTGGAGCGCATACGCGTTGTCGTACCTACACGAGCAAAGGAGTTAGCACATCCTAACACCAGATTCTCAATCACTTAAGGACGTAAAGTAACTTACGAAGTAACAGGGATGTCACCGCAGTCCACAACTTTAGCCCACGAGTTGAACGGGTTCGCCGCGAGTGGAACGTTGTAGCCGCCACTAAATCCGATTCTGCGTGAGCCTTTGGATCACGACACAATAAAAGTAAGCATGCGACTGCTTTCAAGGAAACATACTAGAGATTGAGGCGGCGGGAACCTTGTCTGATACCGCTGGGCCCGAAGCGAGCGCCTGGGCGGTAGGATGTGCCAGTGTCAAAGGGCGCACCAATGAACGCAATGTCGAACTGTGTGTTGCTGGAGAGACATGGGTGGTATGGAAGACGGCCGAATGTGGATATGCCGGAGAAGATGGAGTCGGCCTGCAGTCTTGTAAGTCATTGTTGTACGACATCGTTTCGAGCTGTCGATGCATACTTGTTTGCCGCCATCACCAGGAAGTGTGTTGTACCACAGTCCCTCGTGAGGACCGTTCAAAGGGTCTTGGTCATGACCGTGGTCGCCGTGCGCAGCTACCGTAGCCGCGAAGCTCAAAAGCGCGGGAGTGAACCTCATCTTGCTGGTGCCTCAGGATAACGATGGAGTGAAAATGGAGGGGAGGAGATGGATGAACAGATCTGGGGACTGCGGAGAGCTCGCAGTAAATAGCTGAAGATATCGAGCGCAACTCTATCAGTGACTTGCTTGACCAGCTCACGTTAGGTAAACTGCTGTTAGGTAAACAACACTTTTTTGGAGCTACCCCTGCTCCATGATGATGTCGTCTGCAGGCATAGCACCGTACTGCCTCCAATCGGCTAGTGGATTCTTGGAGAAGCTACAGGCCTCGATATTGGGTTGACGTAGGTTGTGAACTCGGAGTTGTGTGCTTCGCGCGTGGAGGCAAAGAAGTGCTGCAATGGGGATTGGACTGGACTATTCTGCAGTCAACTATGTCTACCTTTTGAATAACCATCTGAATACCGTGATGGTCTCACCAGCTCTTCTACCTCACCCTCGTACTCTTGCGCAACTTCATTTCACCGAGAACGACATGCATCGGCCGTTGCTGATCGATGTGGATACCCACCCCGCCATGCACGCATGTACAATGACGGGCGCCACGGTGATAAAACCCGGGGAATCCGACCAGTAACCTTCTCCATAGACGATATGTAACGCTGATATTCAGCAGCCTCGATCTCTGGGTATCGCAGCCTTATCTGAAGCGAGTCAAGACGCGTAGCAAAGTTACGCTAGCTCATGCATGCAAGTGAGCTTTCCGGTGAGGTTGTTACGTAGTCTAGAGCTTTACACCTCTACGTAACGGTCTTTCGTAGCTGCTGTATGGTACGCGGATTGGTTCGATAAGAATTGTGTGATCCGGATGCATCCTTCAAGTGCGATCTCCGTGGCAGGTTAGGCGGTCGATTGATGGGCCGAGGTGCAGCGCATGCATGGTTGCATACATCGTTCACTCACGCGTTTCCAGTATGGGGTTCCATGCCATTGTAGAGGAAGTAAAGCGTGGGGTACGCAGCGATCGGGTAGCTGTGCGGAGGTGATGATGTGATGAGGAGTGAGGTTCGTTCGCGGAGCCAGGGTTCAGATACCGGCGGCACTAAAAACGTCTCGCTTAACGTATCGAGTAATTTTTGACACTTCGTGCATTGGTGGCTCCGGACAGCTATCTATCTCTATTCCGTGCGTCTACACAGTAAGACGCGTTGCTAATACCTCCGAGGTCCGATCGACCTCAATGACGCGAGACCACTATCTGTGTACCGGCGCTGCTTCATCTGGAGGCACGCCCAGCTCCGCCCTGTCATCCGAGTCCATCCGTTCAAAAGCTTTCTTGACTTGGTAGTCCCAGTTACTCCAAGCAACGATCGCCCATTCTGCAAATCCAACAAGATACAGGGCTATGCATTGGCCTACCCATAAGCCGCCAAGTCCCCAGCCGTGGAAAGCAAGCCAAATGCCGAGTGGCAGAGCTCCGCAGTAGTAGCTGACAATGTTTACCGTCGCTCCAATATGCTGTCGACCCATGCCTCTGAGCGCGCCTCCGCAGCTACCGTTGAGTCCGTCGGCAATTTGGAAAAGCGCAACATAAGGCATTACCTTTGCAGTGAGCTTGACGACTTCCGCGTCGTCGTTGAAGATCTTGGCGTAAAAGTCTTTGACGCCCATAAGGACAACCAGTACAAGCGCACCGAGCAGCATGCTAAGTACCGCAGCCACGTTGGCAGCTCTGGCGGCGCCTTTGGCATTGCGTGCGCCGAGGAGGTTTCCGACACGCGACGAGGTAGCGACACCAACTCCGAAAGGAATGGTGTTCATAACTTGGTCCGTGGTCATGATAACACTTTGCGCGGCGAGTGGTATCGTGCCGAGTTTGCCTGCAACAAGCGCAACAATCTCAAACGCCCACCACTCCGTGCCGACATGTATAACTCCGAGTAAAGCAAGTCGAGAGAAGGTCCAAAGGTTTTGTAGACACTTGCGGTCCCAACCGCCCCAGCATTGCCATCCGTCGACGAAACGAGCATACGCGAGCAGCAAAAGAAAGGATGCCCAGTATGCGATGCCGGTAGCGAGCGGAGCGCCGAGAAGGCCCATTTGGAATGTGTACACGAAGAGGTAGTTGAGACCGGCGCTGAGGGGGGAGGTGATCAACAGGACGTATGTTCCGGGTCTCATGATTTCTAACCTTGTCAGCATTGGTTTCCGGATTGCGGCACAACAAGAACCATACCTTGAGCCTGCATATACTTCTTCAATGCCTCAAAGTATACGTAGCCAATACCGCCTGGGGCAAGCACCGAGAGAAACCTTGCCGAGTCTCTGGCGATATAGTCCTCCTGGCCGAGCGCTTTGAAGAGCGGCTCGGAGCAGAACCACACGATAGCGATGGGTATGTAGAACAGTAGAAGAACGACGAATGCGCGCTGGAGTATGATACCCAGGTCATGCCGATTTTTGCTTCCGGTAAAACTGGCTGAAGCCAGCGTGTCGATCGCGGTCGTGCCACCAAGAGCGACGAGCCAACCAGTAGCCATTGCGAACATATACGAGAAGGCGGCGGTAGCTAATGCTTCTGGCGAGAGGCGTCCGACGATGAGGACAGAGACTGTTTGCAGTGAATTCTGCAACGCGTATGCTACGACCACAGGCAGTGACCCTTTGAACAGTACCCAGAACTCGTGGAGGATAAGTGGGTACTTGGACGCAGTGCCGTCCTCGAGCTCGTAGTTCTCGCCAGTAGACCATTCCTCATGCTGCGAGTCTGGGAGAAGCGACGTCCGCTCATCAGGCGTGGCGTCATCTTGGGTCGACTTCTTGAGGAAGTTTGGCAACCATGACCGGTTTTTGTTCGCTTCGTAGCCCATGACGAGAGGTAGATGAATAAAAACGAAGAACGTGTGAAAAGTGAAGAGAATCCTCCAACAATGAGGTCTGATATGTAAGACAAAGCTCTTCCACTCCAGCCCTGATACCCACCAGATGAACAAGGCAAAAAGCTCGCAAACCTTACATCACGCATTCTCTGCACATCCCAAATCAACAGATAGACCCGGCATGACAACACCTCTGACAATACAACACCCTCCCAAACCGGTGTAACCACGGGCGTATCTACCCTACCATGAGCAGTAAAACCTGCAGCCGCCAACAAACAAAGCAGCATGCATGCCGCCTCTAGCCCTAATCGACGTGTGCAAAGATCGGGGGCGTATCTTCGAGCAGGACAGTGCGCAGCTGTAGCCTTATCGACTTGCATCTGCGCGGTAATTTGACTAAGACACTTCGGTAAAAACGTTTTACGTGAGGCGAGGACGTACTGGACGCGTTCGGGTAAGTGTAGGAGAGTGGAGCTGGGAACAACGTTGATGCTATTGTCTGGGCGCGACCGAGCGGAAGCTCGTGCACAAGTGCCGGCCTCGCCGGAGCTTCCCCGCAACATTGCGTGCTCGACAGCGAGCGCGCAAGAGAACGCCTCCTGCGCGCAGGGTGTCAATGAAGATGAGTGTATGGCTTTTTTTTCTGTGAGATTTCGTGCGATGCCCGGAAGAGCCCGGTCGAGGTTTCACTGGAAGCTTAGCGAGTGTGCCGTCTACATGGTGCAGGTCAAACCTTACTGGATCTGGCCCGTGTCCATATAGCCCGGCACATCCACCAACAACGACATCAGGTAGGTTAATGAATAGTATCATTCGGAGATCGATGTTGATGTATCGTTAAATTCGTAATTACCATTAAACAAAATGACTCTCTTTTCCGACCAAGACGACCCCAAACGCGCGAGATCCAGCGCCAAACAACCGAGAAAATGAAAACAGATTGGGGTATAAAACATTACTAGAATCAGGAACGCATGCCAGTCATGCTAAGCTTCTCCAGCCAGCGCAGCGGCGACAAGGATGTCAATACCACTCGCGTGTGTGCTCGGGTTGCCACTGTCGCTGGGCCCCTGCCACCGATCTATGATAACGCCACCATCAACCCTAGGCTGACTCCTCGCCGCATTCGCATTGCGCATGAAGAATTGTTGGACACCTTCTTGTGGTGCGTTTTCATACAGCGTTGATAGACCGCGAACGTATGCGCCTTTGAACTGCGAGGCGACGGGGTCGAGAGGATAATCAGCAGGCTCGGTGAGGATACCGCTGCCGTCACTGAGTTTAGAAGTCGACGCCGTAGCGAGCTTGTAGGCCTTTTCGATGTAATCGCCGTTGTTTGTTGCGCGAGCTAACTCCGAGAGACCAGCTAGGACGATGCCTTGGTTGTAAGTGAAGGTTGTTCTGCCGTTGTTCTTGCAGCTTGATGGATCGATGCCGTCGTTTACTAAGCTGTCGGAGTTGATGATACCGGACTTCTCGAACCAGTCCCACTCCATCTCAGCCCAGTTGGTGTAGTCCTCTTTCATCTGGCCCTCGGCCCGGTTTGCCAGATGGGCAGCAACGGATAAGAAGAGTTCGTTTGAGATGGCAGCAATGTAGTCGCGGTCTTTGGACCACCATAGGCCGCCGCCACACCGATTGCCGTCCCAGCCTGTAGTCATGTCGGCGAAGATGTCTCTGGCTGTGTCGAGGTACTTCATGTCTCCAGTGAGGTCGTATGAGGCTATCCAGCCCATGGCCCACCACCCCTCGTCATCGTAGAACTTGTTCTTCCACCCATCTGCACCGTGCTGTTGGGACGATTTGGCGTATGTGGTGGAGACGATGTTAATGGCGTGCTCCTTGAAGTCGGCATCCTGAATACCGAAGCGCGCGACGGTCTCAATAATGTTGCCAGACTGCCACCACAAGTCGTTCCTGGTAGAGATTAGATTTGGCCATTGTGAGAGTGGACAGCGACGTACCATAAACCAGTATCAGAGTTGTACCATTTTTCTTGTAGAGTTTTGATTGCTGAAAAGGCGTCGTCGGCAAAGTCTGCGTATGTAGGAGTAGAGTAGAGGAGAGGTATCAGCAGCGCTGTGAGGTACTTCATGGTGGATTAAGCAATAGTGACAATAGGGATTACTGAAGTGCTTCGAGCTCAATGAGAGGATGCTGGCTTGATAAGGAAGTGACAACTAACGGAGGCGAACCGCTCTGTGTTTTATGTTTTCCCCAGACGCTGTGACTTTGACCGAAGCGACCTCGACTTCGAAAGTTCAGGCAGATGTATCAAGGAACCGGACTGTAGGCTGGCGTGTGAGTTCGATCCTAGTCACGGCAGTGCAGATAACGCCGAGAACTCCAAGAGAATACCGTACACAAGCAAACCTGTTCGACATATCGAATGTACCTATGGCATTCTCTGCCGCATAAAGTCATCCCTGCCATTACTGTGCTTGAGCTATTGTTAGAGCCTGTGGCACAGCTAGCCAGGCGGCCTTGCGGATTGTCAGGCATGGAGACTCATGCGGGCGAGAGCCGTCGACGAGTCAATGACTGTGATAGAGGGCATGTCCATACACCAAACGGTGAGGTTTGGTACTGTGCAGCGGTAAGTAAAATTAGGTTTGTCGGAGCCTGATCGACGCGGACCCTATCATGAAGCGACTACTGTCTAGGAAAGCGCTAGAGCGGATCCGATCTGAAACACGGGGAACAGACGCTGGGTATACCTATTGGTAAGGCAGATATGGGAGATTGAAGGTTGATTGGTTGTATATCTGAAATATCGCCTGTTTAGTTAGGTCGGTTGTGGCACAGGGGCCCGTCCGTGGCTTGTGAAGCGTTGTCCAGCCTTGCCGACCCTGGGAGTTCGCTCAGGAGCATCGCGTGTAACGGCGAGCCCTTCCTGAGGATATCGCGCGACGCCGACGGCACACTTGGGAGACGACTCCAAGTCGCGCGGTAAGACTCGAATGCATGCGACCCGTATAAGACAATGGTCGAACGTTGTTGTTAGCTATTGAATGTGGCTGTCAGGCCTCCAAGGCAGCGTTCATCGAGCATCCGACGGTCGCACTTCCGACTGCTGACCATGCTGGCATCATGCTGGCGATCGCCTTCATAGGGCGATGTTGGTATCAGCTATAGGGATACACTATAGCCGGCGTTATCTGAGTTGTGCGCGGGCTCGGCCCAAGGGTGACTGCGGCCGGCGGCCAGGTGAGACCGCAGACCTCGCCGTGCAGACAAGGGCCAGTTCTCCGATAGTGATTCGAGGCCGTAGCTGCGGCCGGAAATAGGTCAACCCTTCTCCCGCTTCTTGTTGCTGACTTGCAGTTGTTGTGGTACCAATGGACGCGATGTTGGCAGGACTCAGCCTCGCCACGGATGCTGTGAGATCAGCCAAGATTCACAGCAGACAGCGCAGAGCTCAGCAACGGATAACGGCCCGCTTCTTCTATGTAAGTACATGATCGGAGTTGTGCGCAGGATGTGCACAGCTTCCAATCGCCCAAGCGAAGGCTCGTCACATTGACGATGTTGACGAGATGAAAAGTGGATAGGCTGCGACAGATGTCAAACAAGTTTTCGCTCAGCGGCAAAAGGCCAGAATTAGCAACGCCGTCCACTGTACGCGCTGTACGCGTGAAGTCGATTGCCGCCGTTCAGCCGAACTGCGGAAGTTGGACGTGTCGAAGTCTGTAGGATGTTTGCACGCGCAGCGCGTGGTGTGGTGAGTGATGGATTGGGGTTAGTGTGCAATGGTGATGATGCTGGTCACGTGCTGCGCGACTTCCTCGTGCCTCTGAGCTACGTCAGCGGGGTACTGCCCCACTAAACCCTCGCCCTGTTCGCGTACCCGATGTTGGCAAACAGCGGCTCCTACTCCGGAGCATGGCTGTGAGCTAGAAGTAGGGCGAGGATATAGTCTACCGTTACCAAGAAAGAACTGATGCTAATCCAGCGCTACCAACTATGTCTTTACTACGCTACCAACTATCCAGTTCAGAAAGCAATCATGGGAGAGGGGCAGCCGCGGCAGCACATGCCCCTCTATCCAAGTTGTACAGCGTATCTCGCTCGTAGCGGGGCAGTGTTCGTCCCGCGGCAGAAGATCTGGAACCCGTACCCACCTTGAGCCGTGGCCAGATGACGCGAATGCCATGCAAAGGCGCCAGATTACCATCAATCACATATAGCGGAAGTGCTGATCTACCTATCGTGGCGGGCTGTGGCGTCTGCAAACTGGTATACATCCTGGCAGGAACCCCTGTAGACCCTGCCAACCGTACATGTGAAGGAGCAAGTAACAAGGCCCACTGAGTACACGGTAGGACTGCTGCTGCCCTCTCTCACCCACACCCTTTGCGGCTACGGTGCCTGCCTCGCGAGGCATGACGTACGGGTTTTGTAGCACGTCACTGCAGCCTGGACGACGCTGAAGGGTAGTATATAAGACTGCTTCTGCTTCCCTTTGCTCGAACCTTCATCACACTCAACTCCAATCAACTCAACTACAACTACCACTTTCAACCCTCAACCAACCAACCACCAACTACCAACATGTCTGACAACCTCCGCAAGGGTCTCGGCGAGCAAGCCTCCGAGAAGAGTAAGCTTACTGCCTTCACCCAACTTCAGTGCACCATCTGACAGTCTCTCAGTGACCCCCGACTCCCAGAAGTCCACCACCGAGAAGGCCAGCGAGAGCCTCACTGGAGCCGGTGACCGCGTTGCCGGTATGGTCCAGCCTGGTACGTCTCTTCCTCTACTCACCACTTACCACCATCGACTAACATACACACCAGAGGGCCAGAAGTCCACCGGACAGAAGCTCGGTGACGCCACCCGCTCAGGCGGCGACGATGCCTCCGCCCAGGGCCAGGGTGTCATGAAGCAAGCTCAGGACGCTCTCGGCAACGCTGGCCAGAGCATCTCCGACACCCTCTCCGGCGCCACTGGCCAGAAGAAGTAAAGCACTCGCTTCCTTCTTGCTGTTG